AAATTTTGTTTTAGTTTTAAGTTTAAATTTTCTCCCATTAATCCAAATATTTTCGATTGCTCCAACTTAAAAACAATGGACAACTTAATGCTTAGCAACCAATCCTCAGGAGAATGATACTCACTCATCACTTTATTACTTGTACGAGTAGTGCACTTGCTACATTTGCATGTACTTACAACCGCAACATCGCCCACATTTTGGCCCAAGATGCTTCGGTCTCTCTCTTGCTACTTTGGCTATCTTGAAGTTCCTTTTCCTTCTCTTGAAGCTCTATTTCTCTTGAGCTCAAATCTCTGGCGAGCCTCACCATCGTCAACTAAAGCTCTTTGATTAGATCCTCCTTCTTTTGCAGCTCTTGCTTCTGAAACTCGACTGTTTTCAAAGTAGCTTCTCTCTGCTCCAGGCGCGTATCTGCCAAAAGCTGAGTCTTGCAAATACGTTTGTTTTATGAGCGCCCTCCTCAATGAGACAATCTTCTCCTTCATTTCTTGAACTTCCTCTCAGAAGGAAATTTTTGTCTTGTTGTGGGTAATGTTTAAGGCTAGAGTAGCCTCAAAAGAGAATGAACAAGAGTTAGTCACAAAAATAGGATTTTGACCAAACTTAATAGAGATCACAAAGAAAGAATAACCTTACCTAGTTCTACAGTTGAAGTGCAATCACCAAGAGATTTGAGGTTCTAGCCCTCTGGTACCTCTTGAAGGTCATGTCCAGTTGACACCCTAACATGGTGAAGATGAAAGGCTGCAGGTACTCGAGGAGCTACCCAACGAGGTCTAAGATGAACTCATCTTGACCCCTCAGCTCGGAAGTACCACCCTAGGTTGAGGAGCTCCGGCAGGTCGCTCCTCTTCTGAGCATTTTTCAGTACCAGTCTGAGTCCTCGCCATAGGGACATTGCTCGGAGTCTCTTCATCTCGAGACTCCCTGAACAATCTAGGGATAGGTGAATGTAATTATCCCTTGACCTGAGGTCTTAAAAGTTCAAATCCAAGAAGGTTTCAGATCCGTCTTTGATTCATGTTAGAATTAAGAGAACCCAGTTGTGTTTTTGTGATTTTGACTGATATTTGTTTCTGGGTTTGTGTTTTTTGTGATTGTAGGTATTGAATATTAATTGGTTTCATAAGTAGATGCACGGAAACGATGCGGTAATATTTCAATTTTTGTGATTTTTATTACTGATTGTTTTTGTAATTTGTAGAAGCTTTGTTAGATTTATGGGGTTTTGATTCTGAATTATGTGTATGATTAAGTTATTAGTTTGATAAGTAGAGCTTTAATTGGTGATAGAAATATTGATAATTGCACATCATTATTTAATCTAACTCTTTGGTTGGATCAAAATGTTAACAGCGCCAGAGAGGTGGCAGTCTCAGGTTCGATATCATCCCTTCATTTGTCATACATATAAAACCAAGCTTTTCGTTTCACTCATCCAAAGTTTTTTAATATTCTTTTTTCTCTGATTGTGCAGGTCCAGTTTTGCAACTTCTGTAACGATAGTTCCTGTTACAATGGGTTTATTTTTTTTCTGGGTAAGTAAAATGGGTTTATTTGTTTCTTATTGTTATTGTTATTTATATTTTTACTTATAAGCTAGCTGTATTCGTCCACTTTAACGGGGGTTTATGTTTTTGTGAATGGAGATATAACCAAATGTTGCTATCATATGCATGATAGAAGTATTGATGTTTTGGGGTTAGATTGAGGCAATCTTAGTATTTTGATGATTTGAATGTACACTTTGTTTTTTACCTTAAAGAGAGAGGTATGACCGTCTGTGGCATGGGGTTTGTCAATGCTTCAAATTCATTGATGTGGCTTAGGAGATATGAGCTAAAACAAGTATTTTTTTTGGTTTCAGATGTCTTTCTTTCGCTGAGATTTGGGTGGCATTATTTAGAAAGATTTATGCCTATGGATTTTCTAATGTGCCATTTTGTAGAGGGTGGTGCTGATGAGGGGGAGGATCTGAGAAATGCAGCCATAAGAGAATTGAGAGAAGAATCAGGTGCTATCTCAACGGAATTTCTTGCAGAGGTGTGCCTAGATAATGCTTTTTATATTTGAATATTTCACCTGTATTCTTGGAGTCTGGTACCATGTCTCGAAGGATGAAATGACAGCTTCCTACATCATGGCTTGACTGAACCGATATTTCCATTGTTATGTAAACACCTTATTGGCTGACTTATGATTTTCCACTTAAAGTCAAAGATAGACTTAATCGTCCCTGGGGAACAAATTATAAAGGTCAAGCACAGAAGTGGTAAGGTTACCATTTACCTAGAAATGGTCAATGCATTATATATTGTAGTTCTGCTGTTGATAGACAAGTAGGAAGAGTTAGAAAATTATATGGTGGAAATAATATACAATCTGTAGCTTCTTATAATAAGATCATCTGTGCATATTTCCATTGTAAGGTTTGTGAAGTAGTTATTATTGGAAAATTTTTGTTTGGACCATCCACCGTATGGGTATTACCTCTTTAACTTTTTTGCCTTTTGTTTTTTTATTGGACAGTGGCTATTCATGTACAGAAACACGTTGGCTTTCTTTTATAACGCTTTTGTCTGCCTGAGAAAAAAAAAAAAAAAAAAAAAAACAGAGCCGAAGGCAAAAAGAAAGAGAGAGGGGAGAAACAGTTTCAGTTTGTTTAATCACACACTCATTGACTAACTCTTTTCATTAATTTTATCTTTTTCTCCTCCTATCTTTTCTTTTTATTTCTTGGTTTTCAATTTCATCATCAGAAGTGCCCCTGTTATCTACAGTTTTGATTTGATTGATCTATAGATCGAACGGTTTAATTCCACATGTACTGCTCTTTCGTTTAGATCTTCGTCGTTATCATCCGTTTTGATTCAGTAGCCGAACAGAGAGATTGCACAGATAGCCAAATTTGTGTTGTAAGTTTTTTCTACTTTTCATGTTTTGGTTTTTATTGTCGTTTTATTGGTTCTGTGATTGATTTTTTATTTTTTTTTAATTAATATACACATGTATGGATAATGAATTTTAGTGTAGGATTAACTGTGGAATGTAGAGATAGATTTGGCTCTTTCAGTTTTTCCCAAAACTCTGCTGGTTGATTCTGTCGTTTTGTTAACTTTAGAGTTTCAAAGTCAGAGCTTGCATAAGGGACTTGTGTCTTTTTTTTTTTTTTTGGTTTTGTTTTGTTTTAAGTACAACTGGGCAAAACACCATCAACATGTACCGATGCTAACAGGTAAGCGTACTTCTCAATAATTCAAAAACACTTAGCAGATTTAGAAGTTTTAATCTGTTTACTTTGTGAAATTGATAAATTTTATGTCGACGGTAGTTAAAGATGATGCCAATCAATTTTGAAATGACAATGTGATCATTTAATGATTACTTTTTGTTTTAATTATTGAAGTATGATGAATGCAAGCTGAACGTTGTTTTTGGTTTCATGGTAAGCATCTGAGGACAAGTTGTGGCAGCCTGAGAGTTGGTTATAATTGAATTGAGCTGATGGAATCTATGCTTCATTCTTTCACTTATATATTGATATACAATATAATTTCTTGGTGGGTAGTCGGTAGGTTAGATTTATACAAGTTATTAAAATTCTGATCTCTTAAATGTACAGTCACAGCAACAGCAACAGCAACATTTATTCAAGTCTTTCGTAATAAATTTTGTAACCCATTGGTTTATTTTATATATAAGTTGCCTTCTCTGATCAATGATTTTGCGCTAAAATGGATGCTAGTACTGTTATTTCTTACCCAAGATTAAGGTTCTGACTTCTGAAATCAAAACTACGGTTAGCTACACAATAATGATTATTAAAGTTATCCCATCACATTAAATTCCATATTTTTTCTTTGGGAGCACGCCATATAGCAGTTAATGAAAGACACCCACTATATGAGAAATTTCTAACTAATTATTTTAGGATACGATTTATATTGTATAATTTTCAAATAGTATATTATAATTTATAACTAATATAATTAGGAGATATTCAATAAATCATTTTCGACTTATAAAAATTGAAACATCTAATTATTTAAACAAATACGGTGTTAAAAACAATTTCATAAGCGACCCGCACAATGCACATACTTTTAATCTAGTTTAATATAATTTGAAACCAGCAGGTAATTAATTGTGAAAACGGTTTATAATATCTTTAGTCTTTATTTTCTAGAAAGTTTAGAGATAAATGAACCTTTGCACTAAATATTCGGTTTAAATTAATTGAATCTGTTAATTAAATGAAATTATGAGGTGACTGTTTTAGTACTCCATGAATGAAGCGTAAAATGCAGTTCAAAAGCGAGTAACTGGTCATTATTCTTTGATTTTGTATTCTGTGAAAATAATAAATAATGACTAATCGTCCACCTTTGATTTAAAAATATTAGGACTTTTGCTCTAAAGATTCACTATATATATATGAAACACATACAAAATTAGAGTTTCACTTTAGATACTCAAAGGGTAATATGACTGATACATAAACATTATTGGTATTAACTAGAAAAATATATTAATTTCATTAATATATAAATGGCAAGAGGTAGATGTTGATCAGTTTAAAAGGAAGCAGAAAGTTGTGAAACTTTCTAAGGAAACAAATAGAAAAAGTAGCAGAAGAACAGAGCTTTTTATAGAGAATGGATTCTTCCAGAAGTACATCTTTATTGACTTGGAAAAAAAAAAATATATCAAACTGAAAAGTAAGAAAATGTTTTTATACAAGGCAAGGAATCCACGTTGGCAATCCTTTTGACTAACACAAAAAACTGATTATCAGTCGTTGATCTGACTAGACTGATTGTCAACCGTTGATTGCTAAACCCATACAACTAATAAATTCGTATTTACTTAGCACCAACTTTCTTAAAATGGCTGATGCAATAATCTTTTGGATTATTATTTTTTTTTTTTCTGTAAATAGCCCTTATTTTCATTCCACAACACAAGCACACAACAATCATCATTTAACTCTCAAATCAATGGAATTTGTTAATCCTCTCCCGTTTTTAAAAGAGAAGACCATTTTAATCATTGGTGCCACTAGCTTTCTAGGAAAAGGTATTAATATTTTGCATTCACACTGTCTCATTCAATCATTCTCCTTTAAATTTGATGTTTTGATATTGGTATTAATTTATATGTTATTGTAGTTTTCGTGGAGAAGATCATGAGGACTCAACCAAATGTGAAAAAATTGTATCTTCTTGTGAGATCAACCGATGCAAAGTCTATAATGAAACGAATTATTGTTGAGGTTTATATTTCACTTCATAACGTTTGATAGTTTGTTTCTCCTACAAATATTCACCTAACGTTTTTAGGTTCGATATAAATAGAGATGAGAGAGAAAGTGATCATATATGTCATAAACATTTTCTATTATCATATGAATGACAAAATACTTTGTGTAATTTTAGATTTTTTTTTTTCAATAATATGATACAAATAATCAACCCACTTAATTAAAATTCTAAATATTATACAGGTTGAGAAGGATTTGTTTAATGTGCTGAGGGATAAACTCGGTGCCAATTTCAAGTTCTTTATATCGAAAAAGGTGGTAGCAGTAGCCATAGATGTTTTTGAAGTAAACTTGGGAGTAAAAGATTCTAAACTAATGGAGGAAATGTACAAGGAAATAGACTTGATAGTAAATTTTGCTGCAACAACGGACTTTGATGAAAGGTACATATTTAGGAGAAAGAGCTAATTCCAATTTTCCTATATATTTATACATATTTCTTCTCTTCTTTGAATTAATTTCATTTGACACTATAAGTTGAATAATTTTTCTCTTGATTTATATTGTATTTAGATATGACTTCGCTTTCAATGTCAATACAATGGGTGCTCTCAACATTATGAGTTTTGCAAAGAACTGTATTAAAATAAATATGGTTCTCCACGTATCAACCGGTAAATTGTTAGGGGTCAATCTGAATGGTTTAAGGCATTTAAATCTTTCCTAATAAACCTCCAAACCCTAGCACTATAAATAAGAGTCTTTATTTAGTTTTTATGAGATTAGAGAAGGAGAAAGAGCGACTACTATTTTGGAGATTGGAATTCTTGTAGTTTTCGTTCACCAATTAGAGAAGTTTTTCTATTTTCTTTCTTAAACTCATGTTATTGAATACAATGATTTTTTTTTTTTTTATTACTGCAATTATGAACTAACTCATTTTCTAGGGCTAAAGATGTAGCCCAATTTATGAATATGTATTGTTGTTATTGTTGTTAATTTAAATTGAGCATTAATTCTAAGTTTTATTATTATGTGTAATGCTTTCAATTCTTATGGATCTGAGAGTTGATTGATATCATGGGTTGAGTTGAGATCGAGAGATAAAACTTGATTAGTCTAAGGTAATAAAACCATAGATTGAGCAAATGCTAAAGATAGGTTACCGCGATCTGTGAGGCTCTAGTAAATTCCATAAAATTTAATGATCTCTTTGCTTTTAAATCCAACTTAGAGATATTTTGGGTTGTTGCTTAAAGGTTAATTCGTTAATTATTCGAGAGAAAGTTAGTGGAATATTAGGGAGTTTGGCCTTTAGAATAAGTTTAATTAGATTAGTAATAATTGTCAACGCATAAGATTAAATAGGTGTGAAATCTATGCCCTATGTTTAGTCATATTGATCTTTTTACTAGAGTATTAATATAATTCTGCTTTTGTTTAGTGTTTAGTTTGTTTTATTTTTCATTAAACCATTCTTAAAATCTTGTTTTATCAAATAGCAATAAAATAAACTAGTTTGGTACTTGGTAGGCAGTTCTCTTAGAATTCGACACTTGTTTACTCAAGCTTTACTACTTGCGTGATTTCGTATACTTGCGAATAACCTGTCAATAAGGCCCTTTAAATATGCTCAGTTCAACGGTTCAATGATCCTTGATTAATTCAATTTTCCTAGTAAATAAAGACTTAAGATTTTATAAATAAACCGCTTCTACAGTTCCTTAAGTTAATGCTTTCCTATGACGTAAAAACTCAATTACTTACGTGATATTTAGATGAATACTTTTTATTTATTTTCAAATTAAATTTTATTCTTTATTTTCGAAATTATTTATTTGAAAAGTTTTATATATAAAAAATAAAAAAAATTAAGGGTGTAATTATAATAAATCACACGTACTTATATAACCAATGCTTGGATTGGGCCACTCCTAATAAGATTTGAAATTTTCCTAAAAAATAAAGACTTAAGATATTATAAATAAACCCCTTTCTACAGTTCCTTATTTTAGTGCTTTCCTATGATGTAAAAACTCAATTAATTACAAGATACTTAGTTGAATGCTTTTTATTTATTTTCAAATTTAATTTTATTCATTATTTTCAAAATAATTTATTTGAAAGGTTTTATATATTAAAATATTAAGGGTTTAATTATTATCAATCATATCTACTTATATAACCAATGCTTAGATTGGGCCAACCTTTATAAGATTTGAATTTTTCAAAGAAAATAAAGACTTAAGATATTATAAATAAATCGCTTTTACAGTTCCTTATTTTAATGTTTTCCTAAAACGTAAAAAATCAATTAATTACATGATATTTAGTTGAATACTTTTTATTTATTTTCAAATTAAATTTTATTCTTTATTTTCTAAATAATTTACTTGAAAAGTTTTATATATGAAAAAATTAAGGGTGTAATTACTATCAATCACATGTACCTATATAACCAACGCTTGGATTGAGCCAATCATTACAAGATTTGAAATTTTTCTAGAAAATAAAGACTTAAGATATTATATATAAACCGCTTCTACAGTTTCTTATTTTACTGCTTTCCTATGAAGTAAAAAATCAATTAATTACATGATATTTAATTGAATACTTTTTATTTATTTTGAAATTAAATTAAATTTTTTATTTTCAAAATTAATTATTTGAAAAGCTGTATATATAAAAAACAATTAAGTGTGTAATTATTACCAATCACATCTACTTATATAACCAATGTCCGAATTGGGCTAGTCTTTATAAGATCTGAAATTTTCCCAGAAAATAAAGACTTAAGATATTACAAATGAACCACTTTTACAGTTCCTTATTTTGATGCTTTCATATGACGTAAAAACTCAATTAATTACATGATATTTAGTTGAATACTTATCAATTATTTTCAAATTAATTTTATTTTATTTTCGAAATTATTTATCTAAAAAGTTTTATATATTGAAGAATTAAGGATGTAATTATTAACTTACCATCAATAGCATCTACTTATATAATCAATGCTTAGATTGGGCTAGTCTTTATGAAATTTTCTTGGAAAATAAAGACTTAAGATATTATAAATAAACCACTTCTACAGTTCCTTATTTTACTGCTTTCTTGTGATGTCAAAAATCAATTAATTACATGATATTTAGTTAAATACTTTTTATTTATTTTGAAATTAAATTTTATTCTTTATTTTTGAAATTATTTATTTGAAAAGTTTTATGCTAAAAATTAAATGTGTAATTATTACCAATCACATCTAGTTATCTAACCAATGCCTGGATTGGGTCAGATTTGAAATTTTCCTAGAAAATAAAGACTTAAGATATTATAAATACACCACTTCTACAGTTTCTTTTTAGGGGGTGTTTGTCTAAGCTTATAAGCTGGTCAAACTAGCTTATAAGCTCTAAAATTAAGCTGACGTGTTTGTTTATAACTTTTTTGAGCTTATAAGTTGAGCTTATAAGCCAAAAAAAATAAGTTGGGGGGGAGGTACTTTTTTTTTTTAGCTTATAAGCATTCTGCTTATAAGTTAGTATGACCAAGTATATTACCACATTATCCTTGTTTAATTTTAAAATTTCATAGTATACCCTTATTTAATGTAATACACTTTTTAGTCATTTTATAATAAAATGTACTTATAAGCCACATTTTACCAAACACGTCAACTACTTATCAGCCATTTATAAGTATTGTAACCAAACACGTAATTGCTTAAAATTTCAAATGCTTATAAGCTAAAATTAGTTTATAAGCATTTGTTGCTTATAAGCTAATTTTCATAAGCTCAGACAAACACCCTCTTAATGTTTTCCTATGACGTAAAAACTCAATTAATTACATGATATTTAGTTGAGTACTTTTCATTTATTTTCAAACTAATTTTTTCTCTTTATTTTCAAAATTATTTATCTGGAAAGTTTTATACATAAAAAAAAAAAAAAAGTAAGGGTGTAATTATTATCAATCACATTTACTTGTATAAACAATGCTTAGATTAGGCCCGTCCTCATATGATTTGAAATTTTCCTATTAAATAAAGACTTAAGATATTATAAATAAACTATTTCTATAGTTCCTTATTGTAATGTTTTCCTATGACGTAAAAAGTCAATTAATTACGAGATACTTAGTTGAGTACTTTTCATTTATTTTCAAATTAAATTTTATTCTTTATTTTCGAAATAATTTATTTAAAAAGTTTTATATATTAAAAAATTAAGGGTGTAGTTATTATCAATTGCATCTACTTATATAACCAATGCTTGGATTGGTTATACGATTTGAAATTTTCGTAGAAAATAAAGACTTAAGATATTATATATGAATCGCTTCTACAGTACCTTATTCTATTGCTTTCCTATGACGTAAAAAATCAATTAATTACATGATATTTAATTGAATACTTTTTTATTTATTTTGAAATTAAATTTTATTCTTTATTTTCAAAATTATTTATTTGAAAAGTTTTATATATAACAAAAAAATTAAGGGTGTAATTATCACCAATCACATCTACTTATATAACCAATGCCTAGATTGGCCAGTTTTTATAAGATTTGAAATTTTCCCAAAAAATAAAGACCTAAGATATTATAAATAAACCGCCTCTACAATTCCTTATTTTAATGCTTTCCTATGATGTTAATGAGAAGGTAAATTGTGTTTAGTTATTAAGTTGTTACTAATCTGTTACAGTTAGGCGAGTTCAGTTTGTTTAGTTACATTCAGTTGTTTAGTTACATTTTCCAGTGTTTTTGTTAACAGAGCACTATAAAAGTGCTACTTACTGTACAGTCAAACTAAGCTGAATAAAATACATTTCACGTGAGCCTCGTTTACTTTCCCTTTTACTTTACCTTTTTCTTTTCTTCTTTCAAGCTTAGTTCAAGAATTGTTATGGTATCAAAGCCATTAGACTAACATCGAAAATGGTAGATCTGTCACAACTCACTCCCAATCCGAACAACTCTGGCCAAAAATTGACTACTAATTATGTTAATCTCACAAATACATCCTCCATGTCTTTTTCCACTCTTCCAGTAATCTCCCCAAAGTTAACCAGAGACAACTACAGATTCTGGAAAATCGCAGATCTTGTTTGCTGTTAGTTCGCAGGATTTAGAGGAGCATCTCACCGGATTAGTTTCTTGTCTAGCTCCATTCATCAAAGTTCAAGTCGAGAGTCCTGATGGAGCAACTGAAAAGAAACCCAATCCAGCTCATAGTTATTTGAAAAAAGTCGACAAGTTACTTGTAAGTTGGCTTCTTGGATCTATCTCAGAGTCCATGTTTAATGTTGTATCAAAGTGTCAATTTGCTACTGATATGTGGATAGCTTTAGAGAAAGACTTCCGCACTGAATCAAGAACCAAAACCCTACACATAAGAAATTTATTGCAAAATACCAAGAAAGATAACCTTAGTATTCACGAGTAATTTGTCAAAACGAAGGGATTTGTTGAAATCTTATCTGCTAGTGGAATTGTAGTTACAGATGAGGAGTTGCTAAATTACATTCTTGACGGGTTAAACTCTGAATATGATGCTGCTGTAGTCCATATTACTACAAGGTTGGAGTCTAAGTTAGATCCCCTTTCTGTACAAGAAGCACAAATAATTCTGCAGAAATTTGAACTAAGGTTAGAAAAAGCCAATTTAGCGTTAAACACGGTTATAGGTACTGAATTTCATGGTGGATCTATACATCTAGCTAATGTCACCACTGATGAGTCCAACAAAAAATTCCACAATGTGTAGTCTTCGTTCAATACTGGGTAGAATCAATTTCAATCACCACAGTCTCAGTCTCTTAATTTCACTCCGCATGTCTTCACATCTCACCAACCTGGTTTTGGAGCTAATCAATTTACATCACAGAACCATCGCTATTCTCCTCAGTTTACATCACAGAACCATCCCTATTCTCCTTAATTTGGTGGTGGCAAAGGACGAGGCAGGGGAGTTGGAAGAGGCAGAATCATTAGCCAAGTTTGTGGTAAAAGTGGACATCTTGCCCTCAGTTGCTATCATCGATTTGATACAAACTTTTTGGGAGGAGGTAATTCAGTAGGAAGAGGTCAGTTTGGCAGCACCAATTTCCCGAGAACATCAGAAAACTTTCAAGGTTCATCATACCCTTCTTTCACCTTATCACGGCCTCCACAACTTCCTTACAACTCCTATAACTCTACTACATTACCTTATCCTAACTCAGGCTCATAAAATACCACTTCAACTTGCTTTCCAACTAGGTCCAATATAGCTTCAACACAATCACAAATGCCTATAGGATCTCATTCACCCATACCTACTAGACATAATCAAGTGTTCTTGTCTCAGACCCATCCACAGCACTACTCACATCCCATAGCCAACTATATTGCTGCTCCTTCAACTGTCCAGGATGCATCTTGGTATATGGATTCTGGAGCTACCGACCATGTCACATCAGACCTAGCACAACTGTCAGTAAATTCCACCTACAAAGGACATGAGCAGCTCCAGGTTGGAAATGGTGAGTTACTTCCAATTACTCATACTGGTTTTACTTCATTACCTTGCTTTTCTAGGTCCCTTTATCTCAAACATGTTTTATGTGTACCTCATATCACTAAAAAATTACTAAGTATTTCCAAATTCACTAGAGATAATAGTGTAGTAGTTGAGTTCTTTGCTGACCATTGTGTGATTAAGGACAAACAATCCAAGGCTGTTCTTCTTCAAGGAAGGCTTAAGGATGGTCTTTATCAACTCCAAATTCCAGCTCCACAATCTACTTCAACCTCAAATCAGGCTGCTGGTCCTTCTACCACAGTCTCAGCCTTCAATTCCACAACCTGTTCTACACCACAAACTACCAATTGTTTGTTTTCTCCATATTCTGCTGTTTGTAATAATGAAGCTCATAATAATTGTCTTTCTAATGTTTCAAGTGATAGACTAAATGATTCTGCCACTTCATTTGTATCCTCTTGTACTGATGAAACTATTAGCAATAAAAGTCATACCATTTCATCTATTTCAGTTGCAAAAAGTAGTGGTTTGCTATGGCATAAACGCCTAGGTCATCCTAATGCTTCTGTCCTTGCAAAAATTCTACAGTCTCTAAGATTAAATCATACTGTTACTAATACGTTTGAATTTTGCACTACCTGTCAATATGGAAAACTGCATCAGAATGTATTCCCTAATTCTGCCTCTAGAGCTTCACATCCTTTAGAACTAGTATATTCAGATTTATGGGGACCATCTCCCATTCCCTCACCTGAAGGTTTTAAGTATTACATTCAGTTTTTAGATGATTATAGCCATTTTGCTTGGATTTTTCCTTTGAAAACAAAGTCTGAAACTTAACTTATTTTTAAACAGTTTCACAAATTGGCTGAAAAACAGTTTAATACTAGTCTAAAGTGTGTACAAACTGATTAGGGAGGGGAATATAGGAGCTTAGTTTCTTATTTTAGTGATCATGGAATTATTTTTTGACATCCATGTCCCCATACTCATCAACAAAATGAAAGAGTAGAGAGAAAACATAGGCAAATAGTTGAACAAGGCTTGACTTTGCTTGCTCAAGCCAGCATGCCCTTAAAATTCTAGTGGTTTGCTTTTCAAACTGCCACCTACCTAACCAATAGGTTACCTACACCTGCTCTGTCTAATCTTTCTCCTTTTCAAGTCCTGTCTAACAAAGTTCCAGATTATACATCTATTAGGGTTTTTGGTAGTGTAGTTTACCCTTACCTTAGACCATACAACTCTCATAAATTTGACTTTCATACTAGTCAATGCACTTTTGTTGGGTATAGTATGCATCACAAAGGATACAAATGCATGGCTTCTAATGGTAGAATTTACATTTGTCAAAGTGTTAAATTTGATGAATCTACCTTTCCTTTTGCTTCCTCATCACATTTTCAGTCTCAAACAGCCCCTAATATCTTTTTTTTTATTAGTATTATGGTTCAACTCCCTATTCCATCACTAATCAGTCCACTTCACAAATACCTGCTCTTCCTGTCAACTCCTTATCTCCTATTGTAACTAACCAGCATTTTTCTTGTCCATCCATGAATGATCAGCAGAACTCATCACTACTACACTCTCCTAACTTAGCAGACCAGGTTCATGATTTCTCCTATGTCAATCCTAGTGCTAATCCCATCAGTGAGCCTACTTCAAATTCAAATAGTTCTACCAAGTCCACGTCAAGATTAGATAGTCCTACTACACATCAGCCTTCCAACTCTACTACTGTTAGTAGCTCTACTAATCAAAGCAATCAGTCCACCTCTGTCAATTTTACAAATCACAGTAATCAACTTAGTGAGTCCTCTCCTTGTGAAAAATCACCTAAACCTATTCATCTTACAGTAGACCTTCCTTTTGATACATCATTATTCAAGCCAACATCATATTCAGACTCACCTGAGGGTATTAATCTTGTAGTTGACCTACCAATTGAGTCAAAACCTTTGAATAATCACCCCATGATTACTAGGTCCAAAGCTAAACTTCTTAATTCTATGTTAGTCCCTTCTACCACTACATCTTCTCACCTGGACAATAGTGAACTAGTAAGTGTGGCTGAAGCACTCTCTCATCCCTCTTGGAAAGCTGCCATGGACATTGAATTTACTACCTTACTCTCAAATAACACTTGGGAGCTTGTTCCAGCAGAATCCCATATGAATGTTGTAGGTTGTAAGTGGGTTTTCCGAATTAAACACAACTCAGATGGTTCTATTCAAAGATATAAAGCCCGGTTAGTTGCTAAAGGCTTCTAACAAACTCCGGAAATTGATTACCTTGAGACTTTTAGTCCTGTTATCAAATCCTCCACAATTAGAGTTGTACTTAGTCTAGCTATCACCTATGGATGGGACATCTAACAAGTTGATGTCAACAATGCCTTTTTAAATGGGGAACTCAGTGAAATAGTGTATATGACTCAACCTACTGGATTTATTGATCCTGCAAAACCACTCCATGTGTGCAAACTGGTCAAGGCTTTATACGGACTTAAACAGGCTCCAAGAGCCTAGTTTGAGAAACTTAAAATTGCATTTCTGAAGTGGGGATTTGTTAGTTCAGTAGCTGATCCTAGTCTGTTTATTTACAAGCTCAATAACTTGGTGGTTTATGTATTAGTCTATGTTGATGATATTCTCTTAACTAGAAGTAATTCCAAATTAGTTCAAGAAATAATGCACAAGCTAAAGGATGAATTTTCCTTGAAGACCTTGGGATCCCTTAAATATTTTCTCGGTTTTGAGGTATGCAGATCAGCCTCCAGTATCCATATATGTCAAGAAAAAAATGCCAAGGATTTGTTGGTAAAAACTGGCATGATGGACTCTAAACCATGCTATACTCCTATGGTGTTAGGAAACAAACTAACTCTTGAAGACAGTGAACTATTTGATAAACCATCCTTGTATAGGAGTACCATTGGGGCCTTACAGTATTTGACTTTATCCAGACCTGAAATTGCCTATTCAGTTAACAAGTTAAGTCAATTTCTCAAGGCTCCTACTCATCTACATTGGCAAGCCTGCAAGAGATTGTTGAGATACCTTAAAGGCACAACCAGTTTTGGGATTCAGTTTCATAGAATACACAGATTCAATCTAGAGTGCTTCACTGATGCAGATTGGGCAGGAAATATTCAAGATCGCAGGTCAACCAGTGGTTGCTGCATTTTTCTTGGAACTAATCTCCTCCAATGGAGTGCTAGAAAGCAGAAGGTTATAACTTTATCCTCCACAGAAGCAGAATATAGAGCTCTTGCTCAGGGAGCTACAGAAATAGCATGGTTCAAAAGTCTATTTTCTGAAACGCACTTAAGTCTCCTTACCATACCGATTGTGTAGTGTGATAATCAAAGTGCTGGATCTCTTGCCTCAAATCCAGTATTTCATGCTAGGACCAAGCATATTGAGTTGGATGTTCACTACATTAGAGAACAAGTTATTGCTAATAACCTAAAAGTCCAATATGTTCCAACTGAACACCAAAAAGCTGACATATTCACCAAATCTCTGTCAGCCTCACGATTTGAATTTCTTAGAGAAAAACTGACAGTAGCTGCCTCTCCTGTGAAAACTGATGCTCAATCTTCCAACTCTGTAAAGGACACTGCAGTTATTAAAGAAGAATGAAATTGTAGTGATTAAAAGTATTCTGATGATCTTTAATCACTGGTTGCAAAATTACAGTGATTAGATAAAATGTGATACTATTCTGAAGTACTGTAAAAAGTGGTAGTGTCTGAAGTGTGGTGTTCTAAAGTGCTAGTGTTCTGAAGTGCTAGTGCTCTGAAGTGCTCTGGCTAATTTCTTTTTTATTGTACTTTGCTGGTTGATTGTTACTATAGCGCAGGAATGTTCTGATGTGTGTGGGATGATCATCTTTAATCACTGGTTGCAAAATTACAGTGATTAGATAAAAGGTGATACTGTTCTGAAGTACTGTAAAAAGTGGCAGTGTTATGAAGTGTGGTGTTCTAAAGTGCTGGTGTTCTGAAGTGCTAGTGCTCTGAAGTGCTCTGACTAATTTCTTTTTTATTGTACTTTGCTGGTTGATTGTTACTACAGTGCAGGAATGTTCTGATGTGTGTGGGATGATGTGCAATCTTGATTCGACTTGTATTAAGTGCTCTGCTGGTTGGTTGTCACTACAGAAAAGAAATAGCTGATGTATGTGGTGTGTATGTTGTCACTACAAAGAAGAAATGTCTGATGTGTGTGGCTTGTATT